GGATGAGATGTAAAACAGAGGTCCTGACTCTCCGTGGTCATTAAAAATCCCAGGGCGTTTCTCGAAAAGAGTAGGGGTGTAACCCTGGCATCTTGGCCACATTTCCTATTGGCCCTAACCAATCATGGCCTCCTAATAATCCCCATCTATGAATTGGCTTCATTACTCTGTTGTCCTCCCCACTGATAGCTGATGTGTAGTGAGCGTTCTGGCGCACTATGGCTGCCATTGCATCATCCAGGTGGATGCTACACATTGGTGGTGGTGGAGGGGAGTCCCTACTACCTGTAAAGTGCTTTGAGTGTAGTGTCCAGAAAAGCGATATATAAGTGTAAGCAATTATTTGTATTATTATTATTATTATTATTATTACTGCAGGCCATGTATAGTATAATTTTCTCTTATGGTTGTAGATTACAGCATTGAACTAACACTGTCTTTACTGTCCACAGGAGAAAGATCCTCTCTATGCCCAGATTCACAAATGGAAGAAATAAGTACAAAAGAAAATCCATCTTATGGTGCTCCACAAGACCGGATCTGAAAGACCTTGTTGTCACCTGGCTCTCTGTGGGTTCCTAGGGCTCTATCTCTCTGTAATCTGACACTGCAAGGCAGAAGGTTTCCTCTCACTGGAATGGTGTTCTTCTTCAGCAGCCTCTTGTTTTTAGGAGCAGATTTATGAGCTTGTTTACTGCTGCTCATATAGACTCCATAAGAAAGGGAGACACTGTACTTTTTGTTCCTTATTTTTCTTGTTTTGTTGTTGTTTTTAGTAGGTCCAAACTGTTCCCTTTCTAAAAGAAACAAAAGAAACTAGCTTTCAACAGTCGCCGTGTCTCAAGCATTTTTTACGGCGGACGCATTCAGCCTTACTGAAGTCTCTTTGTGTGGCTTTTGAGTTTCCTTCCACAAAGAAACGAGAATGACATCGCTGCGCACAGAAAATGAAGCAGATTGGTGCCACTTTCCTTCTAAACCAAATCCATTGGGATGTTAAAAAAGATCATTGTATTACCATAAAGCTACAGTATTTATGAGGAATGGAAATTTAATTGAGACATGATACAAATCAGTTGCAATTAAAACAAAGATAAAAAATCTAATGATTCCTTGAGCAGAGAAGTAGATTTAGTTAATTTGTTGGATAGCCCAGCTCCCCTGATGGAGAAATACATGATTTGCTTCATTCAGAAGGGAGAGGAAAATCATTTTCTTTCATTTCTGTTTCTGCTGCTAGAGTGCTATGCAGTAAAGATTATTCTGTGCACCCTGTATTGAAGACAAAAGGAATAATTTGCCAAATCTTTCTTCATATAAAGTCTCAGAAGAGATGTGTTGTCTGTTGAAATGGACACTGAGGGGCATGGATTTTGCTAATCCAATTCTGTGATTGAACTGTTCATTCTCTATAGCTTTTGTACAATACTAATTAAAAAAATAAGTTGAAATGGAATTTTTATTTTATAAGTCAATCCAGCCATTGGGGTCAGCTCTATATGTGTTTTAGGGTAAATGGCTTTAAGGCATCTGAACTTTGGTTTGCCAGATTTATTTTGTAAATAAGTCATTCTTTCAAACAAGGACTCTTGTGCCATAAAATAGGGAGGCACAAGTGATGCCAGTTCATACATGAAACCCAAGCAATATCAGCATTTCTTTTTGCTTGTTGATTTTGCTTTAACTTTTTTGAGATGTCACTACAATTATGTATGAAGTAACAGTATTTTAAAAAAAGAACATTTTTCTTTCGCATTATTACAAGAAACTCTTACTATCAATTTCTTGTAGTCTTAAAAAACAAGTACTGCTGGGACTCCTGAGAGGCTCGACCACGCAGCTTGAGTCTTGCATTAACTAGTTCAAACCTGGGATGTGTATGACTTTTGTAAATGGTGACTAGGTTTCTCCAGATAGGAACACGCCAGTGGCCAGGTACCGCCAGGGTTTGATGAGTAAGAGCTGACCAGTGTGTCTTTGACCTGCCATGCAAAAGCAGCCACTGGGAGCTTGCTCTAATCAATGAGAGGCACATTACAACATCCATGCTGACTGTGGTCTGTGGTCCCTTGAGACTTAATTGAAAAAAAGGCAAATGTCCTTTTGTACCAGTATGAATATTCTAGATTGGGAATGGAAGATAATTGACAAGTCCCATTTTTAAGGAGTTTTCCACTGAAATCCACAGAAAAGCACTTTTAGTCCCTCTTAAAAACAGCAAACAGCATCACATGCAGTGAACACTGCCTTAACCACTGTTCTATGAGTGTGGAGAGCACAATGATGTATTGTGTAAAATATACCCTGTTCTTTACACTGATACACTGTGGCAAATATACAGTACAATTTCTGGGTAATGATCTAGCAGTGAGGGCTAACTTGATAAAACTGTCAGGAAGCACTATTTTTTTCCAAATGGTATGATTATTCAAAATAATCTTGTTCCAAAGTTAGTCACTGTTATGCAGATGTTAAATTGGCTTTATTGCTTTCTGAGCGATATGACAAAGGTCCTATCTCTTGCAGCCAAATCTGTCTGTCCCTAGTTCTAAAGCTCAGCCTGTGAAAACTTCAGCAAAAGTCACAAAGTGTTAGAGTGCTATGGTTACCGCTCTCTGTTAGTTACTCTGCTATTAGTCCCCTATTCTGTTCTAATGCTTATTATCAGTAGAGGCCTCTACTGTGCACATTTATGTTCAGGTTATCTCATCCAGAATGGAAATTGTTCATTCAACAATAATTAAAATTAAAGGTTTGGCAACTTCCACATAACACAACAACAATTTAGCCAGCATTTGGTCCTTTCACTTATGAGTACTTTTTTTTAGTTTATTGTTTTATTTAACCTTTTGCTTGTTCCTGTTGTTGCCTAGCATTGTCACATTATACAAAATGATGTTAATTCACACACCAGGCCTGATGTATAATGAAATCAGCATAGAATCTTAAATTTGTGACTGAGCTGGATTCACAGAAAGTCATTGCAGTAGTGTACAACAACTCAAATAGTACTGTATCTAGAGAGTATAGTGCTTTATAAAATTTCTATTCAGGCTGGGTATTGGATAAAAAAGTAAAGTGCCCCTCTTCCTGGTAAAATGCATTTTCCCCTCAAATTAGAAAAGGCCTAGAATGCAGATTACATTTTAGGCTGTAATGAACTACTCACCATAAAGTCACTCTCTTTAATTGGCTTTAATGCATTTGGAAGCCAAGATGCATTGTCCTTTAACTAAAGATCTAGACAGTGATGCTGAGAGGTTATATTCCACTGTGTGTAAGACATAATCAGCTATTCCCATTCACTTTGAATGTTTTTGTCTGCCTGGATAAATTATAGGCACCTACTTATACATCAGAAGCACTCACCACTGGAAATATTTCCTATTTGTAATTTGAATCACGATGCCCTGTCTTTCCTTTACAAATATCCCATCCTGACTTCTATCAAGGTTATTGTCTGACTTAATTTACAGCCACAACACAAGTCATTTTGGTTATCCTGCTGGCAGCAAATAATAGTCTGGTGTATGTACTCTCACACCATAGAAAATAGAAGTTCAAATTGCTCACATGAAGAACTTCAATTTTCCCCAATGGTACCATACAACCAAAGGCTCAAGATAAATGTTCGTTGTCCTATCTGTGTGTGCACCCTCCTCATGGCCTTGGCAGAGTATAAAAGAGCAAAGCAATTTTCCCATGCTGGATTTCAATAATACTGTATGTAGGACTTGGTATCTCTTTCTCAGGGGTTACCATATCATCTATGTAAGGTGTGTGTGGGAGAGATGTGCACTTAACTCTATTAGTTTCTCATGTATGTTTGGGGTATGTTGTTTCAGTTGCTGGAAAATCTGTGATAATTACTTTTGTCCTGTATCATCATGTAAGAAATGCAGTGACCTGTATTTTCAATATTACATTCATTTCAGTGCCAATATAAACTGGAAAAACAGTAAGTACTGGAATCCTAAGGTAGGATGGAAATGCAATTCATTGATCCTGTCTTATAAAAGAATTGACAGATTGCACTCTGAGTCTAGCTTTCCATCATGAATTTGGATATTAAGAACCTAAAAAAATTGTACAATGATGTGTGTGAGAAATACATCCCTAGACCCACCCAAGAAAAGTGGGTGGGGATCTTGAAATTGTTTTTAGGTGTTGAAGTTCAACCCATCACATTTTTTTTTTGCACATTAATTTTACAAATACCATTCTTACTCCAATTGCCTATGTTATGGCCAGAGTCCCATTTTAATTTGAATATTTTTTTCAACTTAAGAAAATGTAAGAAGAAAATTTGACAACAGAAATGAAAATAAGGGGGAAAATGACTGTTTGAGTACATTTCTAGATCTATTTTAACTTTACCTCAGCTAACAATTTGTTAATGTAAATTTACATTATTTTTATCTTTATGAATACAACATTCTACAGTGGATTTTTAGATATTTTTTTCTTTTCTTTTGATTTATGTAATCCACCATGTAATACTGTTACAAATAAACACATCCTAAAAGAAGATGTTGACTCCTTTGTACTGTAAAAATCACAATGATCCCATGAAGATTAACTCATAAACCAGCTGGTTTTTCACTTCTTGTCTTTTTAACATAAAATATTAACTACATAAGAACAAGTAGAGATTAATTACATGCTGAAAAGTTAAAAGAATTAAATAAACAACATTATAACTACTGTATTGATCTTATATAGGCCAATGAGAGAGGTTGGGAATATTTATACAAGTCTCCTTCTTACCAGCCTGGCTTAGTTTAGCAACAGATTTCCATTGAATATAAGAAAATCATTAGATTATAAAGTATAGAAATGTGAAAAGATCATGATCTAGGAATAAGAAAATACTGATGCTTGAGACTGGATTACCTGTCAGATCAACTTATAAAATTGTACCCTCCTTTCAAAGTAATAATATTAAAAACAAAATCTATAAAAATATTAAACACCTTTCCAAACCCAAGGACAGTGTACATATTGATAAAGAAAAAGACAAAAATTACGATAAAAGTAAACATTAAACAATAACATACAGAGTATAATACAGGGTAAGGCCCTCATAAAAAAGATGGGTTTTGCCTTTAGATTTGAAAAAAGAATTTGCCTTCCAAAGAGTTGGAAAATGGCCATTCCATAGGTGGCATTCCATTTATTGTTAATAATTCCAAGATTTCTGGGTACAATGAGCAAAGGACCAGCCTACAAGTGAGAGTATAAACATGGAGGAGATCAGAGATGTACCTCTATGAAAGAGCTAGAATATTAAAGCCTTAAAAGTCAGTAACAATATATTGTATTGAATTGATGATTTCTTTTTTTATTTTAGAGAGCAAAACCAAACCATTTTACATATAAACTACAGATGCAGCCATTCAAAATGCGTGGTACAAACCCGCGGTACGGTAATCTACCCACAAGCCGCCGCGGGGCACCGTAGGGCACCGCGGTAAGTGATTGGCTGGCCAAAATGACCGACAGGGGCACTCGTGGTACATTGGTTGGTAGTGAAAAGATTTAATCATTTAATGTCTTTACTGTGCACATTTTATTCCGCTTAGTTTTGAATATTTATATGGAATTTTACCACTAAAGGGAAATTTATGTAGCTGAGCATAAAAAGAAGAGGAACATAATGCATCTGAAGATCATAAACGATATTAATTTAGGAACATAAACATTACTGAACGTAAACTGTACTGTGTATGGCTGGTCTTGGTAGTTTAAAGAAAAATACACACCAGTCTTCCATTTCTCCCTAAATATTTTAAGCATGAAAGTTTTATGAAACGGTACCCAAATATGCAATTGCTGTATAGAATGAATTTTAATTTTAAAAAATTATTTAACACGAAAATTAAGCTGTTTACATCTTCCGCATGAGAACAGTCACCCGTTGATACCCAACGCAGAAACACAGCCAGTAACTAACAAAGAGAGGACATTAGCTAGCCAATATGATAAAGAAATAAATGATTATTTTGTTTATTTCTTTTGCACATTTATTTGAACATTTCCATTGATTGTACAAGCACTTGGAAACTGTCCAATCCCTAGTTCATCAGGCATTTTCTTTTACGCTGCGGGCATTCTCCCGGTCTGGCGCCGGTCTGTGTCTTCTAGGAT